ACAACAGCAACCCAACCTAGTTGACTGGAGATCCCAAGATCTAGGTTCAATGGGACAACCGAGTTGTGTATGACTCAGAAGGATCACTGGGGAGTCCAACTCCTATCCATTTCTATGATGAAATAGTGATGTCTGCAGCGTTTTAGGTAAACCTAGTGGAGTATGGCAGGATACTCTTCATAAGAATCACCTACATGAGTGTGAACTGGGCCGGTTCTATAAGATTTGTAAAGGGCTACAAGTCTTTAAAGCACTCATGAAAGACTAGCTTGTTCAAGGCCAAAATGAACACAACAGTGAGAACTAAACTGCGTTTGGTGTGTGAGTTCTATTGTCTTGGTTTACACAAACGGCCGAACAGTTCAAGACATCATGTTCACTGGTTAGCTAATAAATCCGATAGTGTCTCACAAGGGAAGGTGCAAAGCCAAAAGCTACCTATCCTTTGCAGAATATTTTCAATTTCTGTACTCTCTGTAATTAGATCATGTTGTTGCATTTTCTCTCCGTCAAATTCCATTGATGTGGGGGATTGTTGGAAAATTGGTTTTATATAGGCTTATTTTAGGCCATCTTTGAGCCTAATTTTGAGTGGGCCCCAAACGTCTTTTGGGGTGGGTTTGAAGAGGTGACGTGTTCCTTGCTGCACGATAAGTCATACGGTGAATATGGTTCATCAAAACCATTTATGAGCAAATGGGAAATTGACGTCGTTTTCGGGTTCATGGAATGGACATTTAAAGAATTAAATGTGGGTTTCCTTGGAATGGGTTGTCCCACATTGAAACTTTAAGAGAGCTTGTGTATAAGCTCTAGATTGTAACACTTGGGTTGGGTCCCAAGGAGCACCCCAAGTTTGTAGAAGGGAGGAGTTATGGACAAAACGGTGAATATGGTTCATCAAAACCATTTATGAGCGAATGGGAACTTGACGTCGTTTTCGGGTTCATGGAATGGACATTTAAAGAATTAAATGTGGGTTTCCTTGGAATGGGTTGTCCCACATTGAAACTTTAAGAGAGCTTGTGTATGTATATAAGCTCTAGATTGCAACACTTGGGTTGGGTCCCAAGGGGCACCCCAAGTTTGTAGAAGGGAGGAGTTATGGATAAAGTGAACCTCAGCCTAAACCACCACATATGCGTGCACGCGCTGCCACCGCCGTCCGACCGGCTGAGCCGAGCCATGTCGGGCGCGGGTATGGGGGGATGGGCCGGGTCGGTTCAAATATTAATTTTTTTGACAAAATTTATTTGATTTTTTTTTTTCCAGAAATTCTTAATGAAATTAAATTCCAATTTTTGTGCCATAATTGAATTTAATTTTTTGTCCAGATTATTACCTCATTTAGTCCGAAAATTCCTAACAGATCCAAACTGTTTTACAGTTTTAAATCTGCTAGAAACTGCCCAGTAGTTACAGATTTAAACCAGTAACAGTTATCTGTTTGAATCTGCCTCAAATCTGTTTGAATAAAAACTACATCTGTTCAATTCAAAATTACACCTGTTCAGGTTGGTTTCATACCTGTTCAGGCAGTTTGGTTGCCTATAAATAGAGTCATTTTCCAACAGCCTAGTACATCCGAAAATTGACTGAAAATTTCATTTTGCTATCATATTTTGCTCATTTGCATAAATTCTCTACATATTAGTTTTAAGGAAAATTAAACAGAGTATAGAACAAAAGGTTTTTGTTTGCTGTATAAATTGTTTGGAGTGCTACTACAATTTGTGAAGATCATTGTATCCTGGGAGATAGACGCATTTTATCCGTAAACATCGTGACGGGGCGAATCTGTCTTAAGGATAAAATGTCACACATTCGACTTGATCTTTTAATTATTTATTCAGTTTGGTAAAATAAATTCGGTAAGTATTTATTTATTTGTTTGATTTGGTTTCAATTATTTATTTTACACAGAAGATTGTTCCAACACTAACATACCACCATAACTCACGACAACAATCCAACCCCTTTACACTGTTTCCCTTCTAAACCAAGACATCCACTTTATGCCCGCTCCAAAGCAACCATCATCATCTTCAAACGTACAACCCTTTCAACAGTGAAGATTTGTAGATTTGATTCACAAGTAAATGTAATTTTTGAAGAAAACATAAAGCCCATTGTTGTATTATATATAAATATAATTTTTTGTATGCATATATATAATTTTTTTCTTCTTCCAGTAAAACTGTCTGTGTTATTAATTTTGTCAAATTATTTTATTATTTGCATTATGAAGCTTTGACCGAAGTACTTCTTGGAATATGTCTTCAATTATAAAGTTCAAACCAATTACTCTCTTTTGTAATTTTTGAAGAAAACATGAAGCCCATTGTTCTGTTATATATATATATATATAAATATAATTTTTTGTATGTATGCGTATAATTTTTTTCTTCTTCCAATAAAGCTGTCAATGTTATTAATTTTGTCAAATTAGTTTGTTATTTGCATTATGAATCTTTGATTGAAATACTTCTATTGGAATATGTCTTCAATTATAAAGTTCAAACCAATTACTCTCTTTTGTTTTGGTTGGAATCTGATGAGCATTACAATAATTATAATTTGGGAACTTGACTAAAAGTTAATTATTTTAGGTCATATTACCTTTTTATTTTTTTACATATTTAAAAAAAAAAAACCTTAAAAAGTTAACTTTTAACTAACTTCTTAAAACAAGCCAAATCACTAATTTATTTGAATGAAAGAAGGTTATGAAAAAAATAATTTTGCGGCCACCATGTGGTGACTGTTTCTTCCAATTTATATATATATATGTGTGTGTGTGTATATGTGTATGACTGTGTTGTGTTAATAGGAAATTGTGGGGAGTGATGATGGTAGTGTTTTGATGGCTCATTTTGGGAAGTGGATTAAAAGCCATTTCCTAACTTTTAATCCATTTCTATCTCTTACAAAAAAGTTAAAAATTAACTTTTAATTATATTCCCAAAGCACCCCGATGAGCGGGGATGTGGCCATGGGTTGTGTGGCGGCGGTGTTAGAGCAATTGTGGTTTTGGGTTGGGTTCTTTGTGATGACATGCAATACACACATTTGATGTCATGATACACACAAATTGTTGGTGATTTCAAATTATATCCTTAATAATGTCACCACGCTTCATAACTAATATTGAGCTACACGCACGCACTACAACATTTTCTTATTTAGTGACATCTGAAAGTGCCACAAAATTATTCTTTTAATAACATTTTTTAGTCTCGTGGCATTTTAAACAAATGTCATTTATACCAGTGTCACGGTAGGTGCTAGCGGCACCTCAGTGACATTGCAAGTGCCACTACACCATCATGGCTAAAGACTTTCAATGACATTTGATGTCATGATAGACACTATTTGTAACACTATCAAGTGCCATTAAAAAAAAGATTTAGTGGCACTTGACACTTGTCAGTGTCATTACACCATCGAGGCTAAAGACTTTCAGTGACACTTTAAAGTCATGGTAGACACTATTCGTGACGCTATCAAGTGCCATTAAAGAAGACTTACAATCTAAAAAATGCCACTATATAGATTTTTAATGGCGCTTGTTATGCCACAACTGATATTTTTAACAACTTCATAAATGCCACCAAATCCAATTCATTTGTGCCATTAAATGGATATAAGTGTCATAAATGGATATAAGTGTCATTGGAACTTATTCTAGTGATACTTTGCAAAGTGACTACCACTACTACGACACGTCACTTATATGTTCTTTCCATTAACACTTTATTGAAATGCCATTAGAGCATTACATGTGTGTGGTTCTGTGATATTTTTCTAAAACGTGTCACTAAATATTATTTTTGTGGCATTTTCTAAAAACATGCCACTAGTGTAGTGCCATTAAAGTGTATTTTTGTTGTAGTGACGGTTATCTATAACAGTTTCCGTTAATTTTACACTTTTTTCCAAATTATGAGAGATTTATGTGTATATTTATGAACTAGAAAGAGATTAGTTTGTTTGGTTTCACTTTTCAGAATTTATTTTTCAAAAAATTGAAATTTTTTATTTTTCGTGTGTGTTTTTTTTTAAAAATTTTTTTTATTGAATTTTTAAAAATATTTTAAGTAAATTTTTTTAAAATAAATTTTTAGATACATTTATCATAAATACACTTTAAAAGTTTGTAGGGGTGTAATCATGTCGGGCCTTGTGGGCTCTCGCAAAAAATCTGGCCGGCCCTACCCGGCCTACGGGCTAGAAAAAAATAAGCCCAAGCCCAAGCTCAGGCCTAGAGGTATTCAGGCTTTGGGAAGGCTTTGGGAGGAGCCAGTGGGTCGGGCCCCTGATCTTAGGCTCGGGCTTTGGGCAGGTTTGGGCAGGCCTAAACAAATTTTTTTAATTTTTTTTAAATTTTTTCTACTAAAATTTTATTATTTTTCATTAAAAATAACACTGCGCCTCGGGTGGGCCGGGCTTCAAAACGATGGCCCTGGCCCTGGCCCTGGCCCAAGGCCTTGGGCTGAGTTTGGGCTTGGGTCTAAACAGGCTGGGCCCACCTCGGGCCGTGGGCAGGCTTTGGGCAACCCGCGGGCCAAAATTACACCCCTAAATATTTGTGAAAAAATCTTTAAAAAATTCATCAAATATAAAAAATAAAAATATAAAAATATAATATACTTTTGTATTCTTATATATTTATTAATTTTTTAAAAAATTGACACTAAACACAATAAATATATTTTTGAGTTAAATTAAACTAAAACGGGTAGAATATAGGGCCAATTTGAAAACTTAATTAAAAACAAAATTTTAACTTTGAACTTATTTTGAATCACATTACTTATCAAATTTTTTTTTTTTATAAATTTAAAAAAATAAAAATAACAGATCAACTTTTAACCCAACCCTCAAAAACAATCCATAATTAAACCAAATAAAAATGGAGTTGATTTTTATTGTAGGTAAAAACTGAAAAAATAAGTGAAATCAATCTACCGACGATCTAACCAAACCAACTGTTAGACCAGCCTGCAGTTTCATTTCATTCCTTTTGCAAAGCCAGCTGTGTCTCCTCCCCACAACTCCTCAGAAATAAAAAAAACAAAGAACTTTCTCTCTCTCACTAGCTAACCTTCATTTTCTCTCTCCTCCCATCTCCGTGATCCTCAACAATCCATCACTAGTAAACAAGAAACACAGAGAGAGAGAGAGAGAGAGAGAGAGAGAAGCACAAGTCAAAAAGAGAAACCAGAGAGATGAGTGTGATTGAAATCCTAACGAGAGTCGACGCGATCTGCAAGAAATACGACAAGTACGACTTCGACAAGCAGCAACATCTCAACCTCTCCGCCGCTGACGACGCCTTCGCCCGCCTCTACGCCGCCGTCGACTCCGACATCGACGCCGCTCTTCAGGTCTCTCTCAAAAAGTTCTATTTTCTAGGGCTTGCGTTTGATTGAATTTTTATTTTTATTTTATTTTTTTTATTTTTGCAGTTGGAGGTTTTGATTTTTTGATTTTGTAGAAAGCGGAGGCGGCATCGAACGAGAAAAGTAGGGCCTCTGCGGTTGCTATCAATGCCGAGATTCGACGCACCAAAGCTCGGTTGCTTGAGGAAGTCCCTAAATTGGAGAGATTGGCTATAAAAAAGGTTCGATCTTTTTGAAATTATTCTATTGATTTTATAGTAGAAATGTTTAATTTGATAATTTAGTTTGACTTTATTGAATTTGAATTTTGTGGTTATGTGATATTTTTGAAACCATAGAACTGAGGTTGACTTCAGCTGATTGTTCAACAGTTAGGGGAACTTATGATTCTAAGTTTATGTTAGAATGTTCTAAATTTGGTTGGGTTTCAAAAGTGACAGCTTCTTGAATTTTTTAAGCTTGATTTGTTAGGGTTTTGGGGTTGAAATATCCATTTCGAGGACTGTGAACAGTGATCTGTGAATTCTAACTTTTAAGTTTTGTGAAAATAAGGAGGAGGAGGAAGAAAAGTAGAGGAAGCAAGAAAAGTTTACCCTGATAAGGGTGAAGCAAAACACATAAAAAATATATAATCTCCAGTTCTCTAGAGCTCAGCTCCATTGAATTGAGGAATTACAATAGTATTTGTAGGATTTTAATAAAGTTTGATTATTTATCAAAAAAATAAAAATAAAAAAGAACAAAGTATTTGTAAGATGCTGTATTTCTCATGTTTCCATTATGAATGTTGACTCACAACTAAGAATGATAAACCTTACTGATTAAAATATTGTAAACCAACTGAAAACTATAGGAAAGACCCAAAAACATAACTTCAACCATAATACGACTCATTGGTGACCCTCGTGACCTGTGTTCAGGAAAACTGAAAACTACGGAAGTACGCTCAACTCGACCCTTAGAACCTAATAAATTACATGTAAATGTTTTCTTTTCTTTTCTTCTTCTTTTTTTATATTTTATTATATATATATGTAACGGGTCAGCTTGCGCGTAGCTTGACTAATTCTGGAGCTCTGAAATTAATGACCAGGCAAATCTCCAGTAGCCCCTTAGAGTGACTCAAGCTCGAGACCTTGAATCTTATCCTCAAGTCTTTACTTTTCGGTCAATCCCTTGGGATTTAAATTACATGTAGATCTGTCCAGCTACTTCCAAACAAACTTCATATTATTATAATTGGAGACTTTCAAAACTTCCATGGGTCCCTTCCTTTTGACTGAAAAAGCATCTTGATAACCGTGGCACCCATGGCCTTCGTCTTAAGCTTCTAAAGCCTATTAGATTTGTTTAACCATTTGACAGATGTTGCATCAATAATAAATCTTACTTTCAGGTTAAGGGGCTTTCGACAGAAGAACTTGCTGCCCGTAATGATTTGGTCCTTGCTCTGCCAGATAGGATTCAAGCCATACCAGATGGGAGTGCAGCTGCTCCCAAACAATCTGGAGGCTGGACAGGTTCAGCTTCCCGCACAGAAATCAAGTTTGATTCAGGTGATTGGTTGCCTTTATTCTACTCTTTTTCTCCCTCCTTTTTTCTTTTTTTTGGGAGGCTCTTACTTGAGATTTGTTGTTCAATTATTTGTTTCATTTGGATCATAGATGGACAGTTCAAGAGTGAGTACTTCCAGCAAACAGAAGAGTCCAGCCAATTCAGGCAAGAATATGAAATGCGGAAAATGAAGCAGGCATGTAATTCTTTAGAGTTGAATGCCTTTCTTTTTTTAATTGGAGGGAAATATGATTTTTTTCTTTCTGATGAGGATTTGTTCTTTTGTGGTTTCTACATTCATTGTTCTATTGATTCCAAATAAAAAATAAAAATAATGTGTTTTACTTTGATGTTCACACAGGACCAAGGATTGGAAGTGATATCAGAAGGTTTGGATACATTGAAAAACATGGCCCATGATTTGAATGAGGTTTGCTGCTGCCTTGTGCATTTGTATCTGTTGCTTTGTCCCATTTTGTGCACATCAATTTATGACTTTGCAATTCATACAGGAAATGGATCGGCAAGTTCCTTTAATGGACGAGATTGACACTAAGGTTTGAGAACTCGTCCTGTCCTGTTAATATCTAAAGCTACGAGTATTCTTAAATTATTAATGGTGTATTTCTTCACATCCTACAGGTTGACAAGGCCGCATCTGATCTTAAGAACACCAATGTGAGACTAAAGGATACTGTTAACCAGGTGATTGAGCTGCCACTGTATTTTCTGTAGATTTGCATCACTTTGTGTGTTGTAGAGCTGTGCTATGTCGTAGATCTCTTTGCTGGATTTGACAGAAAGTTTTGATTTGTTTCAGTTGAGGTCCAGTCGAAATTTCTGTATTGATATTATACTGTTGTGCATAATTCTTGGGATTGCTGCCTATCTATATAAGTAAGTTTCACTTTCTCTAAAAAAATGGAAAGAAAATGTTTTATCTAATTCTTGGTAATAGCTGGCTTGCTTAATGGACTCTAGAAAATAATTTCATGCATGGGTGAACTTATAGTTAGAAGCCAATAATTGAACTTATAAACTAGAGCTGAGTGCATGGTTATTCTGGTTGAATCTTCTTTTTGCTTGGTTCAGTTTCTCCTGTTAATCTCTTTCTTTTCACTACCTTAGTGCATTTCAATGAAATAACAATTGTCGGATTGATTCTCCTACTTGTATGGGCTGAAATTTGATTGATTGGTCGACATTTGATTTTTCAAATTTCCTTCTCTTTTGGTTTAGTATTTTAAGCAGTCATTCTGATGGTTGTTGTACCTGCAGTGTATTGAAGAATTAAGATGATCGATCGGCTACTGTTTCTGCTCGTGATATTGGCTTTGTCTGGTATTGTTTTGTGTTGATTGAGGCCTTGTTATGTGCTTATTTTGGAGATGATTTGTTTTTCCGGTGTGTGTATGTCTTTTCTCATACTTTTGACTACTAATAATGTATATTTGTTCCAGCTTTCATTTTGTCTCCTTAATTTAAGGTATTATATTTCTATGCATATGATTAATGTTGTGACTCCTGTAAACACCACTTATGGTATTTGTGCAACCTATAGAGGGAAGAACCAAATTTGGATGAATTTGTAAGCTAGGGTTGCATCAACCGAAACTCCTATAAAAACTGATCTTGAAAAATCTGCAATTAAAGTCTAGGATATTTGCTGTTAGGATTAAACTAGGGATTGGCCCAGCTGAATGTTAAAAAAATGAATTTGTGCTGGTACTAAAGAGCAAGAGTTCAGGATTTTATTGAGTTGATTTACAACAAAAATTTGTTCTGCATCACTTTTTCATAGAAATCTCGTTGTGGTTTTAATTTCTTCTCGTAACTTTTTTTTTCTTCTGAAATATTATTAAAGTTGACCTTTCAGTTATAGCTGGGTTGTTGTGTCAACAATTTCGTGTTATGGTCGTCAAACTTACATCATATGATACCGTGATATTGTAGACATGCTATTTACTGCAGACAACAAAGTAGTAGAACGAGTGATATTTGGTGCTTTATGCTACAACATCCACCTTACCATAGAAAAGTTGTAAAATCGATCAGAATACTAGTAGCATAGGATGTGGCCAGCATTCAACAGTATAAGCGTTTTTCTTTTTTTAAAACCTAAGAATAGTTGTAAATTCAATCTGAATAATATTAGCATAGGATGTAGCTAGCATTCAGTGGTGTTTGCCCACTTTTCTAGCTGAAAAAAAATGATCGTCTCTTGGGTCTTCTTTTCCCTCTTGTTTGTGGCATTTAATGGCTATTAGATGTTCCAAGGAATTAGCCTTTTCTATGTTTCTTGGTGTAGAGGGTCCAAATGTAAGCATTGGAGATATGGATACTGCAAACGTTTAGTTGGAGATGATGGAGATTACCGTGAGTAAAGAGCAATGCAACCCAAAGGAATAGGTGGTGAATATATGATCCAAATGAGGAGGGGAGCCTTTTATAAAGTAGAGGAGATTGAGGTAAAGTACACTTATCAGAAAAAAAAGAAAAAGAAAAAGAGATTGAGAAAAAGTTGAAGTCCTTTTAGTATGTAAGTGGGCCTTGTGTTGCAATTGAAATAGAAATTATTTGTGATCAAGTTAGGATTCTTCTCTATGATAATCTGATAAGGATCTTATGATGTCGATGATATGAAGATAAGTGACTGTCGACGATTGGTCTAGGTGAAGACATCATCCACACCCGGATGAGACTTTGCTCTTAGCCACTAAGCCACATGATTCCCAATTCTCAGAATGGATCATAACACTACTCGAAGATCACACCCTGGACACAATATTGGCCATGAAACTATCTGAAAACCACACTATGGCTTCATACCAAGCTGCAAGAGGCCCCCAAGTTTTGCTAGTCAATTTTGGCAGACATCAGTTTGGGTGTGTGAGAGGTGAGGAAGAGGTTCTAGTCTAGCAGGAGATCCTCACTCTTCTGAAAGATAGGAGAAAGTGGCCCCTACCGAAGGGTCTCACTCTTTTTGAGGTTAAGAGTCAAGACAAATGTTTTTGTTTTGTCCTTATGGTACCGTTGGAGATGTGGACGCTCTTTCAGAAAACCTCACCTAAAACATATGATGACCCCCTAGTCCAACATCAGTTCTATAAAATGGCACATAAACTGATTCGTGTTAGCGCCCTTCCTTCAGCTAGCTCTGCTTGATCTATACATCTTTTTTCTTCTTCTAATAGATACTAGTCATATAATTGATCTTTCGGTTTTTGAATTGTGTGGTTTAGTTCAGGTTGTTTTACGAGGTTGGTAATTCAAACCCAAATTCCAACATCAGTTGACATAACTAGATTATGTATTTCACTGATTCAACCAATTTGCATAGAAAGTTTCAATTTTACAAATCAAACCTGAATTCCATTTCCCCAAAATTCAACTTAAATAGTGAATATCAGAACAAAACAATTTTAGAATTCTAATTTGATAATCATACTTCATAAAAAATACCAACAAAAAATTCCATTCTAAACCTGACTATGCCACCTACCTGAAGATCTCCACGAATGACTATGATTCTACCATTGATGGACTGAAATAGTAGCATTGCAGACACCCATCGTCCAATGAGGAAGAGGGAGAGAAGAGCAGAGGGAAGTGAGAGAGAGAGAGAGAGAGAGAGAGGGAGGGAGGGAGGGAGGGAGGGATAAGTTTTACCGTATATTATGACAGATCTGGCAAGGACTTTATGTATAATCATGCACTAATGCATTAAATAATAGATTTTAAATGGGTAAATGGGATTTCTGTTGGTTTCGATTCACTCTGTGTCCAAAATACAAAAGCAGGATACCAAACCAAAACTGATAAAAAACCTATCGGTTGGTCGGCTATTTTACACCCCTACTTCCTACGGTATCTCGACCGCCAATAATACATGGCAGTTCGAGTACATAGAATGAAATGGGTTATCTTAAAAAACTGATCAACCACCAGCATAATTGAATTGTGCTAGGTGCTATGCCTACTCACATGATCACAATTAACAGTTGCAATTGGGAAGTCACTCTCTTGTGACTGGCCCGTAGCTAACTGATGAGTGTGACACCTATTGCTGGTCTGTCCAATATCCCTCCATATACTAGGCCTATAACATTTGTCTTCCAAGAAGAGAACAACTTTATCTTGCCTAAGATGGATTATACCCCTTCCATTTAGCTCCTGGATTAGAAAATTTCCATCTTCCCCATATTTGATTCGCTACGAGTTTGAAAAGTATTCTGTGAATAAACACCTTTAATAGCATCAGATTCAATTACCTCAACCAATAAAGTATTAAATCATTCTACAACTCAATGCATTTGCAACATGGTTTTGTGAACTATCCTCATGCTTAAGGACAAAATTGTAAGCTTCAATACTTGCACCACATAAAATTCTACATTAATACAATTTCCTTGTGTCGTTAACTTCTTGCTTAAAATGCTATAGGTTTACTCCGTTGGCTAAGATTCTACCAAACTGGCTTGAGAAACATCACATTCCACTTCAAGTGCTAGGTTGAAATCCTCCCCGTTGCAGGCAGGAAATGGAGATTTCTACATCATAATCAATGATTGTGAGAGAGCCACATTAATACATTAGTATTTTAAAACTCATAATGATGTGGCAATTTATACTCTAAATTTTGAATTTTGATGATGTTCCACAAAATAGACCTAGGTGGTGGCCTCTCTTCTTCCTCATGGAATGAGCTTATCTCTACTTTTTTGGACATTGAAGCATGTATATCATATCCTTAACTGAATCGTAGCTCCTTTTGCAAGTTTTTGCACTTCCTATGCAAGGGTGCCACTTGCTGGGTCAAATCTACTAAAAAGTGTTAATTTTTGTCAAGCTGCCCTCTCTTTGCCTTGAAGTATAAAAGCAGTTTCTAAGGACTTGAAACTTACTTTAATGTAAAAAAGTAGCAAAGAGAAAAAAAATAGAAAAAATAAACACAGTAGAGTATTGAGAAAAAGACTTGATAATTCACAAAAGCAAGCATCAATAGTGGTAGATGAACAAAAATCCCGAAGTGGTTGTGTTTCTAACAATCTCTATACATACTAACAATTGAGTACCAAATCCTTATTTTGTCATCCTTAAGAATACCATTAAATCCATGACTACAGTTACAAAATCCTTTTCCATTAATCCTATACGGTAAAAGCATAATAAAACACTCACTTAAATCATCAAACAAAACTCTAATGCTCTCTAAGATTAAGAATAAGAATAAGATCAATTAATTGGTCACTTCGTTTGGTCCTGAAACTCCTCTTTTAACTTCGGCATTGCTGCCTGTTTGGTAACGTTTACGTTTTCAATTTATATTTACAAAAATTTTATAAACTGGTTTTTGTTTATTTTTTATTTATTTTTAGAAAAACATAAATTACAAACGCGTTTGGTTTAGACAAAATATTTTTAAAAATTTGAAAATATAAAAAAGAGTGAGAAATGGCAAGTGGTGGCGGGTGGTGACGAGTGGTGGCGGCGGAAGACGGTAGTGGAAAATGATGGCGGGTGGTGGGTGGTGGTGACAGAAGACGATGGTGGAAAGTGGTGGTAAGTGGCGGGTGGTGGCAGTGGAAGAGGGTGGTGGAAAGCGGTGACGGGTGGATGGATGATGGTGGCGAGTGGGTGGTAGATGGGTGGTGGCTGGTGGGTGGTGAGTGGTGGTGGCAGGTGGTGGTGGAGGTGGGTGGTGGTGCCGGAAGACGGTGGTGGAAAATGGTGGCAAGTGGTGGGTGATGGTGGCAGAAGACGGTAGTGGAAAGTGGTGGCAAGTGGCAGGTGGGT